AAGGAGAAAAAAAGAAGTTAAAAAAAAAGAGTAAACAGTACTCACTCCTCCGAAGCGAGCCAATTGTTCCTTATCGACATAGCGAAAAAGGGCATCTGAACTCATAGCAAAAACATGACTCACTTTTTTGGATAAGTGCGTCTCAATCTTAGCTCCCATTTGCACCAGTTTTTGCTGCCAAATCTATAATTTACCCAAACAATTATGAAAAAAATAAAATGCCGCCAAGTAAATGAGTTGTTATGGTAATGGTAATGAAGGGACCTGTAAACGGCGAGACTGGACGCCGTTTTCGATTAAGAAAACCACCATACCGGCAAAGATTCCATGTGGATCGGAGGAAGGAGCCTTGTTTCTGGTTCGCTTTGGCGCCATTTTTCTTTCTTCTGGTTGCTAAGCTTGTTTCAGCCTGAGCCACAGAGGACTTTCGGCTTGCGTAACCGAATGAGAGGAAGGGTCATGTGCGCTCCCAAGCATCGAGCCTTTGACCTGCGACTGGCTGTAAATCGGCTCCATATAGTGACACGTTGTAGTGATAAAGACCCTTGCGCCACGGGGCATGTTTTTACCACGTAAGCAAACAGAGTACAAGTCAAGTCTAGAGTATAGAATCCGCGTACCTGTTAGCGGCAAGGTAGCTGAATCCGAATTTTATTAAGTTTTAGGGTATTTAAATTTTATAATTATTTAAATATTTTTAAAATTTATTATTTTAATTTAAATTTTAATATAAAGTTATTCTTTGATAATTATTTGAATGTTTTAAAACTTTAATATATATTATAAGTTTATATAAGTAAAAATATATATTTATAATTAATAATTTTATAAGTTATAATTTTTGTAACATTAATACAAAATAAAAAATAAACATGTTTATATTAAAAGTAAATATATAATAGTAATTATATTCTTTATAATTAACATAATATATAAACAATATATATTAAAGGACATTATAAGTTAATCAATAATCATACTTTCATGAATTAATTTAATTAATGCTACAAATTTGTTCTTAATTACATGAAATAAAAAAAATAAGTTGTAAAACTATTTTAATCTCACAACCTCTTTTTTAATATATAGATCATAATAAGTTTACATAAATAAAGGTATATATATTATAACTAATAATTTTATAATTTTTGTATAATATAAAATAGAAAATAAATATGTTTATATTAAAAACATATATATAACAATAATTATATTTTTTATAATATGATATGATATTCATATTATTTAAACATAAATAATAATCTAATATTTTTTAATTTAAATATATTAATAATATCGCATTAATAATTTGACTAACAATCATATGTCATTAATTCATCTATCAATTTCTATTAAAATAAATTATTTGCAAAGTTGGTAAAAATGTGGAGTATTTCTCATTCTTACATAAATTCAAATCCAAACATCAACAAAATTTTACATATTTAATTTAATTATCTATTATATCTCTAATATATATTATATAAATAATAATAAAATATTACATAAATGGTGGATATAGGGTTCAAGTTTAGAACGAGTACCCGCCTAACTCGGATATCAACATGATCGGGTTCAGATAGTGAGTACCCAAAGGATGGTACTTGAGTCTTACTCGAACTTGATACAAGTAGTAAAATTACTATCTAAACTCATCTCAAACCAGATTATAAAGTACTCAACTTGATTAAGCAGGTACCCAAGGGTTAGCTTTCGAGCCCTACCTGAACTTGAACCAAGTAGTAAAATTACTACTTGAATCTATTTCAAACTCGATTATAGAATACCTTAACCCTATATAATCAGGTTGAGTACCTATAGATATCTTGTAACAATTACAAGGTGCCCATTGACATCTTTAAGTTGTAATCATCTTTGGTAAAGCTTAACGTGTAACACATAACATTTGTTGCAGGAGTTACACACATGGCACATTTATTACATAGCTTACACATGTAGCATAGACATCTCATTTTGTTGGGATCTTTATTTTTAAATAAATTTTTTTAAGAAGATTGAATTATATTATTTTTTTTGTATAGAATTCATTTTTTAGATTAATTCGAATTTTGATTAACTTGGTTGAGCTAATAAATGTATTAGATTAGGAAATAAACCATACAGCCACATACATTATTTTTTCTGACATAGTTAACTTGTTCTTATTCTCGATATCTATCTTTTAATTAATTAAGATCTAATTGGTTTGAGTGAACTCAAAAATAGATTTTACCTTGGATCTTGAATGAAATAAATTAAATACAATAAGTAAAAGTAAAAATTATCAACAAATTACAATAAAAGTTTCAAGAATTACTTATTACAAAAATATTTTTTTTTTAAAATCTCAACCCCAGCCATAATCACAACACACCATTTTTGAAGCCATAGTCTTAAAACCCTTAAACCCTAGTTAAATAAGAAAATGTTGGCAATTCATTGAAAAGAAAAATAGAGTAGAAAAATTTACTAAGAGAAAGAAACAGAGCATTTATTAACAACCAACCCAAATCAGCCAATTGAAGTTCTTATTCCTTTGATCAAGTAGTCTTTAGAGCTCTTCTTGTATCCGAAAACATTGAGTAGTAGTTGGTAGGATCACGATACAAATGGTAGCAAGTGTAATTGTCCTAAAGGGATTGGTCATATTAGAGATTTCAGTGACTACCACATCAACAATATTTTCTCCTTTTCCTCTGTTTTTATTTATATTTACAACTAAAGGAATGGCTCTGTAAAGCATACTTTCATTACCATTAAGATGTGCGGGTTGAACTTGAGAGATGGTGATAGTAGATGATACAAGTGCTAGAATATGCCCTTGAAAGTTAATTTTATTATTTATTTATTAGATAAATAAATTATTACGTTAATTATTTTTTGAGAGGTATTGTTGCATCAATTATTGATTTCAAATATATTATATTTTAATGAATATTTTACTTGTTTATGACATATATGATACGATCATAAATTTTTTGATAATATTGTAGAAAAACTATGCTAATAGTTGATGACCCATTAAGCAGGGAGTTATAATTCTTTAATTTTTTGTTGCCAAAATTATTCTAAGCTAAATGTGACAAACTGTTTAAAACCTACATGTGTTTTACCTCTATAAAAAAGGATAAAATGTTCTAACTCTAGCATTGGGTTAGTGTCTTTAAAGTAAACAAGTGAGTGTAATGTATGAAATACATACATTGAACAAGTATCTAAGTAGTCTTTTTACTAACTCATGTTCAATGATGGTTTTTTCAAGTTGATTGAGCTTGTTTGTAATATTGATAAACTTATCAAATATGGAAGGGATATTTTCACCTAGTTCTATTTTGAACATTTCATAATTATGGGTGCGTAAGGCGGTTTTAGATTATTTTACTTGTGAAGTCCTTTCATGAATGACTTTAAGTTTTTCTCAAATCTCTTTAGTTGTAGTACAATTGGAGATTTTGTTGAATTATAAAATGGTCAATGCACATTGAAGGGTGTTGATAGCTTTAAAATTTATTTAGACCTTTTTAACTTCAGCTTCAATCCACTCAGCTCTTTGTTTAGGCATTCTCTCAGGCAAAACTAGATGAAATAATAATAAAAGGTTTTCCAATAATTGCATCTCACATTTCATAACCAAGGGATTTGATGTATATAAACATCTTAATACTTCAATAAGCATAATTTGATCTATCAAATAAAGGAGACCTATTTATGGATTAACCCTCTACAACAATAGACTTTTGCAAAGCCATATGGATATCCCATAAGCATGTCAAACCTTAAATTTGATGGTATGGCTCTAATACCATTTGTTGGTCCTGTTGGAGTGTTAAAAGAGAGGGTAAATAGCATTAAAAATTTTCTATTCAGTCCTTTAAAGCTTATAAAGCTCTTAATCAACTAAATGAAAGAAAGGACTAGAATTTGTTAGAATTACAAGACACTAAAGAAAGAAAGGTAAAGAGAAGTGAACAATGCAAAAGTAATTATAGTGGTTCAGTCTCTTTGATTTACATCCACTACCTTAATCTTCCAATCAAGGATTTTCAACCCAACTTCACTATACCAATAGAATTAACGGCTTCCACTAAGCTTTTACAAAGGTCAGCTTCTAACCCAAGCTCTGATCCCTTACAACAAGTTTTAGAGTGCTTTTTACACTCTAATTTTTCAAGAAAGAGAAGAAAAAGACATACAACAGAAATCTTTACAAATTTGGAAAGATTACAATCAAGCTTAAACATTTTTTCTAGAACAGAAGTGAAAAACAAATGTTTTAGTGAAGGGTTTTTGGCTTTTTGCTTAAAATGGCTTTTTGTTGCTTTAATCTACTTTCTTTGATCATTGGAGCTTCAATTTACACTTAGAGAGTCGTATTTTTTTATTAAAGATAGTTCATAGCTATTAGAAATAGCTTTAATGCCATTTTAGCCTTATTTTGTCCTCTAGTATTCAAATTTAAAAAAATAGACAAAGTTCGGCTATCTGGTTACAAGCAGCTCTAACCGATTACAATTTCTCTATCTTGCACTATCTTATTGCTATGTGCTCTACATTAACTGATTATAAGAAATTCTAACCAATTAAGGGATCTTTGCCTTTACCATATTAGCATATTGTTGTGATACTATGAGATGATCACGTGACATTTTTACTTTCATGTAAGCATAAAATAAAATAATAAGTGATAGTTTGATTAAAAATAATTAGTTAATTATTAATCATAATAATGTAATATAAAAACTTATTAAATATAATAAAAATAAAATTTTATTTAAAATTTTTTAAATAGTTCACAACATTCTGCCAAAATACAAGTATAAAGTATCTTAGTCTGGAACTAAAAATTTATAAATACCTTACTTTGGGAAAAAGAACTCCTTAAATATGTGTTAGATTTATCACCTAAAACGACATGCCGTTTTGAAATGCGGCTTCTACACTGTTAGAAAGGGACAATCATAATGAAATAGAAAAGTAGGAGAGAGATCGGAAGACCGCAAAATAGCGCCATGTGGGGGTTTTTTATCTGCTTAAACCCTAAACCCTCATTGTGGCCCTTGAACCCAAACAGAGTTTCAAACCCCCAGAGAAGAAAACCTTAAGTCTGTTAACAGAGGCAATGATCATATGCCGCTCAGCTTCAATGCTCCATTTCTACAGCTCATCAGCCACCCCAAAACTCCTCCCTCATTTCAGGCGATGTTCTTTTCTCTCTACGTCTTCGCCATCTCCTCTTTCTTCGTCCCCTCCAATCCGTTTAATTTGGCTCAATCAGTCCAGCAGGCGCCGAACCAGGGCCTTCAGTAGCGCCGCTGTTGCTGTCGCTGTTCCGAAGAAAATTGGGACCGATACCTTCTTTGCTGAAGAGAGTGTTTCGTGGAAGTCTCTGGGGTTATCTCATCGGATCTCTCAAGCTCTCTCTAATGCCGGTTTCCACAGACCCTCTCTCGTTCAGGTGCTTTCCCTTTTTCTTTTGATGAATTCATTTACATTCGTAGTTTTATTTAAGCATCGTTTCTTTGTTACTTTTTCTACTTTTATTTTTTGGGTTCTGGAAGCAAAAATAATAAAAGAAAAAGTGCGTCTTGCATACAAAGCAAACAAGTAATAATGGCAAATTAGAATTTTCTTTTTGTTTTTTTGAAGAACAAAATGATGATCTTACTTCAATATAAAACAATTATTTTCGAATTGGTGTGGTGCTTTATTCATTTGTTAATGCTTAATCAATTATGATTATGTTGTCTGTTATTTACTTTTAATTTTTGGCAACTTTTTAGGAAGCAAAAAAGAAAAAAAAAACCTAGTGCCAAAAAGCAAAGAGCGAAATTAACAACCCATAGAACAAGAAATTTACCAATTTTCAACTATTCAAAAGATATCACCAAAAGCAACAAGCAAATGCATATATCAATTAGTACCCATTATTTTGAATTCAAGATGGATTTTTTTATTCGATTGAGGTAAATAGTTAGTTTATCAACTCTTGGAATTTTTTTTTATTCTTCCATCATGTGTGCTTGCGGTTAATGGGTTTTGATGTTCATTGAAAAGTTTTCCTTTTGCAATATAGGCTGCCTGTGTACCATCTATACTCTCTGGAAAAGATGTGGTAATTGCAGCAGAAACTGGTAGTGGTAAAACACATGGTTATCTAGTTCCCCTGATTGATAAGCTCTGCAGTGCTCGCCATGATGGGAATAATGATTCCAAGGCAGCATCTGCTCCTTCACATAGCTTTTCTATTGTTCTTTGCCCAAATGTATTGCTTTGCGATCAAGTGGTTCGAATGGCTAATGGTCTTTCTGGAGGTAATGGTGAACCACTTCTCAGAGTTGCAGCGGTCTGTGGTCGTCAGGTATTTTTATCAAATATATCTCTTTGGGATTGGTAGCATTCATGGTTTTCTATGTTATTGGATCTTGAAAGGGTGCTTTTGCATTTTGTCATGCATGAATATATTTGTATTGTTCCTTTTACATTGATAAAATCTGGTTGTCTTAAATAAGATCCTTGACTACAGGGTTGGCCAGTGAACAAACCAGATATTATTGTGTCAACCCCAGCTGCTCTTCTGAACAATATAGACCCCAAGGAAATTCATCGTTCGGATTTCATTCGTGGTATAAAATACGTGGTATGTTTTCTTATTCGTGACTTTATGTTCTTTTTGGTTATTGAGAAAACATGAGGCTTTTTTTATTTTATTTTAATTTTTGTACAATAATTGGCAGGTTTTTGATGAGGCAGATATGCTTCTCTCTGGGGGCTTTCATAATCATGTTATCCGTCTTATACACATGCTCCGTTTTGATGAAAAGCTTTTGTCTCGGATGAATAAATCTGGATCTGAGAACCCTGTAGAACTGAATTCCGATTCTCTGTCACACTTTAACTTTGAGAGTGAGGAAGACATACAAAACCAATCTTTCTCTGAAGCAGAGGAAATTTCTGAGGATGATGTTGATGCTGAGGACTTGAAGGAAGAAACTAAAACTTGGCCTGTCAAGAAAAAAGACTGGAGGAGAGTGAGAAAAAATTATGAACGCAGTAAGCAGTACATATTTGTTGCTGCTACCCTTCCAGTTAATGGAAAGAAAACTGCTGGTGCGGTGTTGAAAAAAATGTTTCCAGATGCCAACTGGGTTAGTGGAAACTACCTCCATTATCACAACCCTAGGTGCCAAATTCTTTCACTCTTTTCTTTACTTTTTCTTCTTTTTTTTTCAACCTCTCTTCCATGGATAAATGGTGATGCATTTAGTCATGGTCATTAGATTTGTTTAGAGGCCAAGGTGTATCTCTTGCAGATAATTTAATGTTTAAGCTTGTTGCTGTTCATGGCGATCCATTTTGTTCCAAAATCATCTATGCTCGTCATGACTAAGGAAAAAGCTTGGAGATTTAGGATATCCTGTTTATCATGCATAGAGATTTATGATATTTTAAGAACATTTAGTATATGTTCAGAACTCGTATATCTGTGATACTTCTTTTCAACTTAGATGGCTATACTGATGATCTTTTACAAATTTTCCTTGAATACAGTGCAGCTGTTTAAGGTCCAACCATACCATAGAAACCACTATAAACATTTAAAAGAAAACATTTATTTCCATTTCTCTGATCACGTATTAAAGGCTTCTTATGCTTGGATCTTGATTGCCAACAGGATGCATTTAATTGGCTTTGCACACAGGAAAAGCTGGTAATTCAAATAATTGACATATAGATGAAACAAACTCCTATTGTTGTATGTTTCCTTGATCTATTGTAGTCCTTAGAATTAGACATTTATAGCAATGTCCCAGTCAACTAGTATCCACCTGTTTCACCTGTTTGGTGCATGAAGATGACTAATTTTGAACCACTATAAAAATATAATTATTTATGTGGTATCTTGAAGAGTTAATTTGTGTGTCTTTTTACTTTTCTTATTTTGAGAGGGGAAGGAGAGGGAAGAAGGGGGGGGGGGAGGATTGGAGTTATAGAAATTTTGGGAAAGCTATGCTGAAGCAGGTAAGTTTTACAGAACTTATTTGTTTAGATGTGGTGTGCTTGCATTGTTTCTTATAATAAAGGTTCAGGACGTAACTTATTAATTTCAAAATGGGTCATATTGCTATATCTGTTGTGGGAAGAAAATACTGATCCAAAGAATCCTTGAAGGTCCAATATCTTGATGTTTTGATGTGTTGTAATAGTTAGCCTTACAGAATTCAACCTCTTCACAGTCGGTCTGTACTGTGGCATGAAATTCAGTTCCCATACACCTTTTGAGTTATCATGTATCTGCCCCATGTAACAGATCGCTATTTCAATCCCTTAAGTTGTGTCGTCTTTAGTGCCAACTTCTTTGTTGGTAATTTGTTTTTCTTTTTCAATTTCAGATTGAAGGAGAAATGGATTGAAGTCACAACTGATACACAGGTCGATGCACTAATAGAGGCTGTAAAGCAATTTAACTCAAAAGCATTGGATCATGGTGCTGTTGTCAGTCGAACCATGGTTTTTGGTAACACTGTTGAGGCTGTTCAAGCAGTGGCTAATATACTCCAGAGGGCTGGGATTGAGTGTTACTGTTACCATAAGGACCTCTCTTTGGAAGAGCGTGCTGAGACCTTAGATCATTTCCGAGAGAAAGGTGGAATTTTTGTGTGCACAGATGCTGCTGCTCGTGGTGTTGACATTCCAAATGTCTCGCATGTCATCCAGGTGCTTCATTTTTACTAAATCAATTTTATAGTGGGAAAAAGTTGCTAATGGTATATCAAGAATCTTGTAAAATGTGGGTGTTGCTATATGTAAATTCTGTAGCAATAATAATTAAAGTGCCCGGAGAATAGTAATTTCACTAAAGCTAGTAGCTAATAACTGATATAGATTTATAGGATAAAAGATTGATAAAAAAGATCACTTTTGTATATGTCTAGTAGATAATAACACCATTATTAAGTTTTGGTTTCTCAAAGCAGGTTCCTAGATGGATGATCTGGCTGCAGTCCTGAATTTGGCAACTCTGCCTTTTTCAAGTTTGTTCTCAATATACTGTTCTTTCCTGGTTAGACTTTCTGGAACAGACAATGCCAACAAAAATCTAAATGTAAATAGACATACAAATATGTCATATGAGCATCAGCTATCCAAAAATATAAATTTTGAAGCAGTCTGGTAAAATGGAAGATGATGAAGAAAGAAGCATTGTTAATTTCCTCATATTTCTGTGCAATCACCTCTGAGGAATGATATAGACCATTAGAAAAGTCATTCCAGTTGGAAGAGAAGTACACATAAATATTTGTAGAGAATAATCTGAGTCAAGTATCCATAGTCTTGAACTCTTAATGCATGATACATTGTAAACTATTTCTGTTTCTGTTTGTTGATCACTGAGCTCGGATATCATTACAAGTTTATGACTAGCAAATTATCTAAAATTATATAGGGGAGCTAATCATCTGAAGTATCGTGTTCTTTCAGGCAGACTTTGCCACTTCTGCTGTAGATTTCTTGCATAGGGTTGGTCGCACAGCACGGGCTGGTCAATTTGGAGTTGTTACAAGCCTCTACACTGAATCCAACCGGGATCTTGTTAATGCAATTCGTACAGCTGGGAAGCTGGGTCAGCCTGTGGTAATTCCAAAAGCTTGCAGTTTCCATTAGCTGAGTTGACAGTTTTACATTCCTTAATCCCAGATGAAGAAATAATATCCCTCCTCTGGCTCCCCCCCTCTAGCATTCTCTTTCGTTTCCTTGAATGAATGTGTAAGACAGTGATTCAGTGATTAGGAAGTCTTAGGACTTAAAATGTTGTTATACAAATAAATTACATGTGCTTGTGTATAGATTAGTGAGTTGTACTTTCTTGAGCAATGACAAATGTTTTTGGTTGGGTACAGGAAGCGGCCTTTAGCAGGAAAAGAAGTTTCCGAAACAAGCTTAAGAAGAGAGGTAGAGTTATTGTTTGAAAATACTTGCCAATAATTTAGTTGTCTTTTCTTTGGATATCTACTCGCCAAAATTTTCACTTTATATGTTACACATTAAATTTCAAAATGTTGATAATTTTGTCTTAGTTTTAACAGGTTCAAACAGTGCCAGGGATCAACTTGTGAATTGATGGTGTAAGAAACATGGTACATAAAGGAGAATAGATAGCCATTGATTTTTTAAATTATTCCACTTAGCTTGTAGCATTATCATCAACGTGAATTGTGGTCTCCTTAAGTAGTATTAGATATTGTAGTAAATGCATGCAATATCTGAAAGATCTGTCCTACCACCTTCCCCATTTCTCTGTTCACACACACACAAGCCAAAAAAAAAAAAGAAAAAAGAAAAAGAAAAGACTGATTGCATTCTCTGTTTCCATAAAGTTAACCCCTCTATCTGGCCGTCAATTTTTATTAGGACTAGTTTATCTTGTGCTGCATTTGCGTGTAGCGTATCGGATGGAATGGATAAGATAAATATTGTCCAATTCTAAGTTCGATGTTGTTTCTGAAAGGAAATAGGATCACTGACTATGTCTCTGAATTCATCCGGTGTAAAATGGATACAGCCGTTCTCTAAGATTTCTATCCACCAAACATGGCCTTATACCTTAGAGGACACATAGAATATGTTTTTGAGTTGTCACTGTTCATTCGGTGATGGAAAGAGAATTCCCCTGTTTTGATATTGCATTGGAATGTATTAAAGCCCCAAATGTCGTCTGGGCTTAGTTGGCTTGTAATTGTGCATGCCGACACATTAAGACGTTAAAAGCCACTTACACTTGGAACATTCCTCGCAACCGACGGTTTGCAAAGAAGTGTGTTGGAATGGATTGGAGAGTGAGTTATGGAAGTTTCTTTTCTGTATGCGAGTCCAAGCATTGAAAGATATGTCGATTAAGATTCTAACTTTGCGCGTGGGAGTTTATTCTAGAACGATGGTGAGCTCTCTTGAATCGTGACCATCAAACCTGACACAGCCAACCACAAGCGTTGATATTCTCGCTGAGATGGAGACTAAAAGGAGCATAATAACTGGTAACGTGGAGGCTAATGAGGCAGAACTATTTATTGATTATTCAAAAAGGAAATGCAATTTCGATATTAATATTTACGATGGAAATTGCAAATTTAAATAATTATTTTGCAAATATCAGTTGGGAGAGACAACCCAGCCATGAAACCACCAAGGAGGAGGAAAGGCATGGCAAGACTGGATCTGGTAATCATAACATCCTACTTAGTAAAGTTTTATTATTTCCTTTTTAACAAAATCTATGACATTGCTTTTATCATTTAATAATCCTCCATGGGCCATAGCATAGACAAAAATAGGAGCAGATGTTGTTTGATTGAGACGATAGCCATGTCATCCATTTCACTCTTCTTGTTGTGAGACAGGATTTCAACAGATACCAAGTGTTGTGATGGTACGAATGTTTAAGTCGACGAGAGCACAAGGCCGTTTGTCTCCAACACTACCTTCCTTGTGAATGTAAGCGGCTCTCCCTCGACAGCCTAAGTTTGTGGGGCACTACTTCGTCGGCAGCCTGCCCATTCCCTTTCCCCACCGCCACTTTGCTTTGCATGTGCCAATATCTAACTATAATTAATAAGACAAAAGGAAATGACTATTCACACTCAACTATCTCACCAAGTTTCTACACAACCACAAATATTCGACCCCACTAGCTTCAGAAAATGTTTTACATGAACTTTCAATGGGGTGTTTTAAAACTTTTGTTTATATTATAATTTTGTTAATTATATATCTTTAAATTTAGTTTATATTACCTAGACCAATCTTAGTATAAGACCCAATCATGTGTTGAGATTTTAAATATAATGCTTAAAAAAAACTATGAATTATTCAGAAAAATTTAAATAAACTTTTTTTATTACACTAAATCAAATATTTTTATTTTTATTTTGAATCAAAGAAATTGTTATAATGGATGATTAATTGTTACTAATGAAAGTACTACTTATCATTCTATCTTATATGACACTGATATGATATATTGATATATTATAATAAATGATGATATGATATATTAATTTGATATTTTTAATCTTTATGTAAATATCTTATAAATATAAAATGATAAGTGACATTTTGATTAATAGTAATTAATCAAATATTAATCATAAAAATTTATTTAATATAAAATAAAAATATAAAAATTTAATTAAATATAATAAAAAGATAACATATTTAAATTTTTTAAAATAATTAAAAACTTTTTCACAGTACTGTCTCATTTTATTAAATTTGTAAACGTAAGGATAGAATTAAAGAAAACAAAATTTGCGTGTTAGTGATTGTGGTGACGCCACATGATTACGTTTTAGAATTGCGTCATAGGCGGAGTAGTTGATGATGATTGGGAAGAAAGACCATAATTAAATTAATTTATTAGTTATCCATGCATTTGTACTTGCATTTGCATTTATCTTACGCCTCGCCTTGCATTCACAGCCCATCAACTGGATATTGTTTCACGTTTCTGAAAAAGAAGGGCCTCTAAGTTTCATGGAGTAAATTGCAAATGACAACAACTCAAGAGAGATGCAGTCTAACTGGAAAATCTTTGATTTACATACAGATTTTAACTTGAAATTCTCTTGATATTAATTATTATAAAAATATAATTTTAAAACATTTATAAACATTAACAATATATATAGAATAAAATCATTGCATACTGATATATATATATATATATATATTCGAGGAAATTATGAGAAATGACATTCTTAATAAAATCATTTAAAAAATGACCTTCATTATAATTTTAATTGTTTTTAAACAATTTTTGATAGGACTTCACAAGAATTTCCTTTAAACCATTTAATCCAAATTAAGTAGTTCCAATTTCTTTCTCCTCTCCCACCATTCAGATAAAAATTTCAAAATTAAATTTCGATTTAGCTATCCTTCCGTCTAGATCTCCAACGCCATCGAGGTATATATCTCACCGTCTAGCTCTCCCACACCATCGAGGTCTATATCGTCATCCAACTTTCTCACGATCTCAAAGTGCAAAGATAAATTCAAGGTATTTGTTATGGGTTCTTGGGTTTATTTTTTTATATTTATAGAACACAAAAGTTTATGGGTAAATTATATCAATTTGGAAACTTAAATCTAACTAGGAATCTCAAAATCATTTAGTTTATAGGCGATGTGTGAATATTTGTTAAGCATTGCGTCACCTGTTTATTTGGAAAATGGGGTATGTGACTAGATATTAGAAATTGTAACCTATTTATTTGGCATTAAATGACTGAATATTATGTGACTGAATATTTGTTGAGCATTGCATGACTTGTTTGTAGGCATTACGTGATTGAATATTATGTGACTGAAATTTGTTGAGCATTGCGTGACTTTATCTACCTAATGCTGAAAGTGATTATCTACTGATTCAGCCCCCTTAATAACAAAGTTTGTAAAATTAAAAGAGAATTAGAAATACGTAATAACAAATTTTGTAAAATTAGAAGAAAATAGGAAATGCTTAACAACCAATTCAGCCCCCTTAATTGCACTTATATTGACATTCAAAAAAAAAATTGCACTTATATCATGTGCAAAAAACAAAGAGTCAACATTCATGCCTATAAATAAAAAGAACCATTAACCATTTTAACAAAATAAATCTAAAGCAAAATCTCAAAATGACATCCAAATGTTCAATAGTCGATCGCGAGAAAGGGGTGGCTGCTGAAGAGGCTACCCTTGAAATGCATGCTCTGATGGACCAACTCAAGAACATGGAGACGGAGATGCGCACCTTGATGGATAACTTGCTGGTCAAGACTGAAGTCGTGGAGACAGAAATCCTAGGCAATAACAAGATTCTGGTTGAAATTTATGAATTAGTAGATGAAATTAGGAAGAACTGACTACAGTTCATTTTTTTTGTATCATCTCTTTTTATTTCGGCCAATGATTAAAACAAAAACTTTCATTAATCATGTTTTCCTGGTTTATTTTATATTATGCTGAATAACTTGGTTACTTACCTTACTTTCTTTATGTTCTATTTATATAAGAGAAGGAAATGTGAGTGGATGTTAGGCATTGCATGACTTATTATTAGGTATTGCGAGATTGGGTTAGAAGCACTGCATAAATTGTACAATGCATATCTTCTGTTGAAACATTGCATGAGTCGTTTGTATGTATATAGTGACTTGTTGTTATGTATTGCGTGACGTTGGGGCAGTATGTGACTAGTTATGTTGGCATAACATGAGTGGATATTAGGCATCGGGTGACTTATTATTAGGTATTGCGAGACTAGAGGTGTGTGACTTGTGCAATTCATCTTTTATTTTGAAGCTTTTGTTCCCTAGTTTGTAAGCATTGTGTGACTTATTGTTATGTATTGTGTGACATTGGGCTGTTACGTAATTGGTTATGTTGGCATAATGTGAGTAGATATTACGCATTGAGTGACTTATTCTTAGGTATTGCAAGATTGGAGGTGCGTGACTTATGTAATTCATCTATTTGTTTTGAGGCTTTTGTTCATTAGTTTGTAAACACTGTGTGATTGGTTTTTATATATTGCATGGCCTGTTGTTATGTTTTGCATGAGATTAGGCTGTTACGTGACTGGTTATGTTGGTATAATGTGAGTGGATATTACGCATTGAGTGACTTATTATTAGGTATTGCGAGACTGGTAGTGCATGACCTGTGCAATTCATCTATTATTTTGAGGCTTTTGTTATCTAGTTTATATGCATTGTGTGACTTGTTTTTATGTATTGAGTGACCTGTGATTATGTTTGCGTGACATTGGGCTGTTATGTGACTGGTTATGTTGGCATAATGTGAATGGATATTACATATTGAATGACTTATTATTAGGTATTACGAGACTGGTGGTGCATGACTTGTGCAATTCAACTCTTGTTTTGAGGCTTTTGTTCACTAGTTTTTAGGCATTTCATGAATGTGTATTAAAAATTGCGACACTTATTTTTTGTTAATTTCAGCAGCCTGTGAAATATGACTTAGGCATTGCATAAGTGGTTTTTATGCATTAAGGGACAATTTTTGACAAATTGACTGATTGTGACACTTATTTTCTATTAAATTTCAATGGTCTGCCAAATGTGAAGCTTATGATTAGATACGGTGGTCATTGGGTCGATGATAGTTACAAGG